CGCCAGGCTTCTGCTGTGTTCACCCGCCAAATATAAACAGAAAGCTAGCTCACCGCCCCACCATCCCGCCGAAAATACGCTTGTGAATATATTACAAATAAAAATGTAAAGCAAAGCAAAACGAATCAGAAAAGAGACCTTGTCCGCGAGACAGATTTCAGGATCCTTCCCATTTTCATTTCTAAACACATGAAATATCTCCACCGCGTTTTCTGGAGCTAAAACTGGGGGAGGAAATATTTAAAAAAAAACCAACAAAAACAACAACAAACCCCCTCAAACAAACAAGAAAACCCCCAAACCCACAGAGTGAAGCGGTCTTCTGAGACCTGGCTCCATTAAGATTAGTCCATGTTCCACACTTCGGGTGAAAGCAGTGACATTGTTTTCGAACGCACCTTTTTTATAGGAGGTGATTTTTGAATGTTTGGATCGACTGAAATAGGTAGGTCCATATGTAGTGTGCGCCTGAGAATTTTTAGGACGCCTTCGCAAATTTTCTCGGACTCTTCCCCTTCAGCATTAGCTGTTACAAATTTTTCTTATTTTGTAATTATCTGAGCACACCCCCCCTTAGCACGCAGTGGGAGGGAGAGAGTTAAGATGTCCTGCGAAACCCGCTCGTAAAGCTGTTTACTTCCATTAGAAACACATGAATATCCTGAAATACAAAGTGTCTTTAAAACGGACTAAGGAATGTTTATCTCAATTAGAAATTGTGGAAGAAAACAGCGGTGACAGGACTGCTCCAAATTACACTTTTGGCAGGTAAATTTCATTTGCTCATGAAAATCAAATTCGATTAAGGCTCTTGCTCCTGCTATCACTTTACTCCCCCGTCTTCCAAGACTCCTGAGCTCTGCAGAATGGAGAGTATTATTAGTAACTAAGATCACCCTCTAGCTCCTCCATTATCAGCTAAGATCTTTTAGCGGGTTTAGAGGGATTTAACTCCGTGACAAACGTATATTTTCAGCAATCAGACACGATTTTTTTTCTTCATGCTCATTAATTAGCTCTAAGCAGTGGATGAAAAACTAGGCTGGATTTCTTTGGGCAACAGTTTGGGATTTTTTTTTCTGCATTCGTACGATTGTGATTCTCCTACAAGAAATCAGCCTTTCCCTCAGTCGGGCATTCCCGCGGCAGGGCTGTGGAGGGTGCATGTGTGTGTTATCACTCCAAGACTGGTTTGGGGAAAAAAAAGCCTTTTAGATACTCAGCCGACAACTCCGTATTTGCAAAACCTGACATTCAACTGCAAGACCTTTTGGGTTCTCTAAGAAAAGCGAAATTTTAGGGCCTCTTTAGAAAAAAGAGAGTGGACATATTCCTATCACGTAGAGAGTTTTAAAAATAATTTATATTTTCACCTTTAAGTCCAATTTGCTTCAGTCCTCATTGCGGCAAGATCATCCTTGGTTTCATAGCGTCAGGAACACACATTGACATGGTTTAAAGCACTTGTAAGGGCCAAATTTTGCTCTTTCTTACACCAGTGAAGTGGGTGAAATGTGTCTGACCACTCTCAGTGCAGTCAAGGGAAGAAAGTGCCACTTAATCTTTTTGTAATAGCTGAGATGGGCATGTCCGTGTACCGGGTGACCACTGCCGGATAGGAGCCCCAGTTAGAAACTGCCTGGCTATGAAAAGACTCAGGACCTTTTAAAATCCTCCTACCGATCATGGTTGTTCATCGTCTTGCTCCCCAAGGAATTAATACTCGTTTTAGAGGAAACGATTCAACAGATGCATTTCTCTCCAAGTTGTTTTACACTCTATATAAATGCAAAGCAGTTCGCAGGTCTGCATCAGCTCTTCTGGAAATTGCTATGGTTCTACCATACGCTCGTATGTGCTGTATTCTAACTTTATTTTGCGTGAAAAATACAAAAAAAATTTGGAAGAAGCTTTGATTGGTCTGTCGGTTGCATGTATGGAAGCATTCAATTATCAAGTAAATTTTTCAAAGACGATCAAATCAAACAGTGGCTTCAGGTAAACTCCTCCTTAGTTTTGGTTGATTTATGCAACACATTTCAAGACTTACGTTGCAAAAAGTAAAAGCTCTTCCACAACTGGTAGGGAATGGTATATGTTCAAGGCAGGGGAGTAAGCTCGGGCATATTTTTATCCCGGGTGTTCATTACAGGGTCCATGAGTTTCGAAGAACATCTGTTCTGCTCCATGCCTTCAGCCCTCACGGTTCCTTTCTAATATTCAATGGTAGATCCCCACTAAGGCAGGAAGAAATTATAGCTGAGGAATGAAAATTGGGTATCGCGGGCATCAAAAATAGTTGGCAAGGCTTTTCTTCTCTCTCGGTGTCAACAATTTATTAAAAGTGATTCAAATTAGGAAACCAAAGCAAAGGCGTGAAATCCTATGTCCGACAATAACTTTTTTTCCAGTGGTACATACACACCCTGCAGATGTCATTTTGCCTGTTTTGAGGAAACAATCTCATTCCCGAAATCACCCCTACATCATGGCAAACAGGGTTGTATTACTGCTCTTATCAGCAGTGAAAAGCACGGCCTTCGTCCCTAACTATTAAATAGAGCTGTAGAGCGAGGGAGAGATGCAGAGAAGGGAGAAGAGAAAGCTCTCTAATCTAATCTCCCTTCTCCCTGTAACACATAAGGCAGGAACAGCCTCAAGTGGGTAAACAAAACAAAAAAACAACCACTAAAACTGAGCAGACCGGATGCTCCCGCTTTCCCGTCGCCTTGATCCCCCCACACCCCTCCAATATTTGTACAGTTTGCACCGGGGCTGAAAGCTACGGTTTCACATGGCTTCACTCTCCTTATGGAAAGTAGCTTGAAAAGTAGAGCCAGATAAGCGAGAAAACCTCTGAGGCTGAGGGTGAAGGGAGTTTGGAGAGGGGAGGCGGGCTGGGTAGGGGGGGAGAGGGGAGCTGGAGAGATTAGTGTTCTCATGGCTACCCGCTTTTTAACAAATCAGACAGATCTTCGGGCTGTGAATGACAGTCCTCACATTGGCTAGACTGCAACTTTCAACTTGACCTTGGCCTCTAGCCGTGCCTAACCCGTATGTAAAACAGCGCTGCCCCATAGAGCTGTCTTCCCTTCCCACTTCTCCCCCCTCGTCCTGCAACGCGATTTTCAGAAGCACCCTCGAGAAACCAGAGGGAAACATCAATTCATGCCAGTCAAGCAATGTTTGGCCGGGGGAATCCACAGGTTTCAAAACTGGAGCCTGAAAGAAAAGGAAAAATATGCGGGGAATAAATATTTGCTTTTGGCCATGAGGAAGAATGCGGAAAAGAGTATGCGAAGTGAAAATGGGAACTATTTATTGGCTACAATGAAGGAAAAAAGCGGCTAAATGCTGCCAAATTAGCAGGGGATGACAGGACTTCAGGTATCCTAACTCATGGCACGGAAAAAGTACCTTGAAAAAAAATCCTTGGGCGCCAAAGAACTATTTCTCATGGCTGGCAACTCTGCGCTAGGCAAGGAAAAGCCTGCTCGGTAACGATGTGCGTCCCGGGATTGCTCTGCGCTTGTAGCCATGCGGGCAAAACAATGCTACAACGTCAATGGGAAGCACAATAGGATAATAAATACGCCGAGCTGTCAGGCTCAAAACAAAGCAACATGCAACTGGGAAAAAAAATTAGTTTTCAGGATGGGAGTATTTGTGGCTGTTTTGTGCACACGCGTGAGAGCTGAGAGCTGTTAACGATGAGATGAACGCTGGTTTAGGTCAAGTTTATTGATAGCTCAGTGATGGAGTGTTTTGAGTTCAAGGTTGTGCGCGAAAAGCTTGTGGGGAAAAGCATCCGCCGAGGTGGTGGAATGATTAAAAATCGAAATTATTTCGTCCTATGAAAAATCTATCACGAAAAGAGAACGCACTTGGTTTGTTTTTCCCTAGCATTCGCTTGCAAAGTGGTACAACCTTCACAAAAAAAAATATTTTTCAACTGATGATCCCTTTTGTTTTTCCAGCGCACACACACACACAAAGAGCTATGTGTCCGTGCACACACTATATAAGCCGATGTGATATTTTACAGCCGTAAAAGATTCAAGTCGAATTGTAGGCCCGGATTTTATTATTACGGCAACAAATAATACAGCGGAATCGCGATGAACATCCAGTTAACCCTCCCGCTCCCCAAGCCCTTTCTAAAAGATAGTAGTAAATAAAATGGGGGGTTCCCGGTCTGTTCCTCTTATCTGACTTCTGAGGCTTCGTGGCGAGAAGAGCGAGATGGGTCTTGGGCTTGCGACGGGCGGGAAGGAAGGAAAAAACCACCCAGAAAGGAGCCCCGGGAGGCTCTGTTCCGAGAGCCTTATGCGTCCCGGCCTTGCGCCCGGAGAACGCTTCTCCGCCCGCAGCTTGCGGTGGGCTCCCCGCGTCACCCGGCCGAGGCCCCGCCAGCGGCGGCTCAGACCAGTGGAGGAAGGGGGTCGAAGGGGTGCGGCTCATCTTCCCCCGGAGACGAGGGGAGGCCTTCGGGGTTTCCGCGGCGCTCGGGACAGGGAGGGCCCACGGAAAGCAGCCCAGGGGAGATTCAGGCGGGGTGCCGGGGGGAGCCCTGTACCTCGGGGGGCGCGCCGCGACAACAACGGGGCCAAAAAGCTCACGCCTCGATGGCGAGGGAGGGCCGGAGGGAGGAAGGAGGGAGGGAGGGAGGGAGGAGGGACGGGCGGGTTCCCCCCCCCGCGTCGCCCGCGTCCCGCGCGGCGGCGGTGGGACCGCGCCGTGCCCGCGCCCATGCCCGTGCCCGCGCCCCGGGCCGGGACCCGGCCCCGCGCGCTGATTGCGTTATTTAATTATCTCCACTTTATTCCCTCAGATGTTTATCAGCTGCTTTGCATATCACGTGGGGGCGGGCGGGCCAATGAGGGCCGGACTGGCGCGACGCTGGCGCGTCAGCCCTGGTCAAGTCCCGGAGATTGAGTATCTCTTTTTTCAGTCTTTGGGGCTTTTAAAAAAGAGCCACTAGTCTCAATGCGGAGCGGGCTATGACAGCCTCCGTGCTCCTCCACCCCCGCTGGATCGAGCCCGTCATGTTCCTCTACGACAACAGCCTGGATGAGATCAATAAGAACATGGACGGATTTCACGCCGGCAGCAACTTCGCGGCGGCGGCGGCGGCCAACCCCTGCCGCAACCTGATGGCTCACCCCGCGCCCCTGGCTGCCCCCAGCGCCGCCGCCTACACCTCCAGCGAGGCCCCCGCAGCCGGCATGGCCGAGCCCGCTGTCAAGCAGTGCAGCCCCTGCTCGGCCGCCGTGCAGAGCTCCTCCGGGGCCGCGCTGCCCTACGGCTACTTCGGCAGCGGCTACTACCCCTGTCGCATGACCCATCACAACGCCATCAAGTCCTGCGCCCAGCCCGCCTCCACCTTCGCCGACAAGTACATGGACACCTCGGTCTCCGGCGAGGAGTTCACGTCGCGGGCCAAGGAGTTCGCCTTCTACCAGGGTTACGCCGCCGGGCCCTATCAGCCGGTGCCCGGTTATCTGGATATGCCCGTGGTGCCGGCCATCGGCGGCCCCGGGGAGCCGCGCCACGACCCCCTGCTCCCCATGGACAGCTACCAGCCTTGGGCCATCACCAACGGGTGGAACGGCCAAGTGTACTGTCCCAAGGAACAGAGCCAGCCGCCTCACCTCTGGAAATCCACCCTCCCGGGTAATACACCTGCATGGCTCCCCCTGTCCCTTCTTTCCTTCTTCCCCCGCTCGTTCCTCCCGGGTATCCCGCCTGCAGGGCTCCGGGATCACCCTCCAGACTGACCCTTCCCCGCTCCTCCCGCGGTCCCCTGTCCCACCCTGCCCCGGTCCGCACATGCCCCGGCGCCGCTGAAACGGCACCGGTGCCGCCCCCTGCCCCCCGCCGGCGCACGGCACATCCCGCCTCGCCTGGCCGGCCCCGACGCCGGCCCCGGGAGAGGAAACAGCTGAAAAGGGCCGCGGGAAGGTCTGTGGTATTATTTTCCATAGACCACGGAGCACGCAGGCTGGGTAAATCGCTGCAGCCCCTCTTGATCCTTCCCAGAGTCCCTGTCCGGGCTACGTGGGTTTGTTATTATTTGTCTGTCTGACAGAAGCGAGCCTTTCCCTGCCTAGAAGCTGTCTGCGGCGGCCAGGAAAGAGGAATCCCCAATGCTGAGCCGGGCATTAGTAGCTAAACCGGAGCGGGGCAGGCAGAGGAGTGCGCTGTAACTCTAACCCTTATATCAATTGAAGATGTCCTAAGCGGTTCGAGCGATTTTCTAACGCTTGCCCGCATGGTTTTTCTGTTCCAGACGTCGTTTCTCATCCCTCGGATGCGAACTCGTACAGACGTGGAAGAAAGAAACGAGTGCCTTACACAAAGGTCCAGTTAAAAGAACTCGAAAGGGAATATGCTACAAATAAATTCATTACCAAAGACAAACGGAGGAGGATTTCGGCGACTACAAATCTATCAGAGAGACAGGTCACAATCTGGTTCCAAAACAGAAGAGTCAAAGAGAAAAAAGTGATCAACAAATTGAAGACTACCAGTTAACGGATTAAAAATGGAGAAGCAGTAATTCAAGAGTTTCAGAACTTTTTTTCGTGTTCAGATTAAAATAATTATTAATAATAATTAAAAAGAAAAAAAGACAATGAACCTCTTCTTTCAGAACAAGAGATCTGTATCTTTGGATTATAGCTTTTCTTTCTTTCTTTTTTTTTTTTTTTTTAATAATGCTGTAGCAAATGGTTAAAATTGACAGCTCTCCTGAAATCCCAAACAGCCAGCCAGTATCACTGACAGACTGTAAAGTCCACATGCCCAGCCCCAAGAGATACACTTTCAATTAAGACACGATTTTCTGAGAAACTTGTAAATACTTCTACGACCTTACTATTTGAGAGAAGACTCTTTGTGGCCACGATGCGAGAGCTGATTAACGTGAGGAGGTCGATGGGGACACATGATCTGGTTTTCTTCCATTGCAATCCAAACTGTATCTTGAATGACTGCTCAGGTAAACCATAGTGAAAAAAATTACAATTACTGTATGTTTTTAAGCAATGCATTTAATGTCAAAAAGTAATAATAAACCTCGAAGGTACTGAATAAGGATTTCAGAGACATCAGTAATGAAGGAAGTTCTGTGGAGGATCTATCTTGATAGTAAATTTAAAACATCGCAAATTAGTGGGTATAGAAAGGAAAATATTTTCTTGGAGATGTCTTTCATTTTTTTATTATTATTATTATTTTTATTTTCCATTGATGATTTCTTGTCATCTGAATTGGTGGGGTTTTTTGTTGTTTTGGTTTTTTTTGTTTTAATTTTATTTTCTCCTGCAGACCATACAATAGATACATTTTAAAGGACTCTGCCTGTTTTAAATCTCAAATAATCTTCAAGAATTTATATTCTAGGTCCCCAGAAATTTTAGTATTTGAACATTGGCATTTCTTTACAGTAGGAAAAGAAATTCCTGGGAAAAAAATACCCAAGAACTTCGAACTGAAATACATTTTTCCCAGAAGTATTTTGATTTATATAATCTATATTTGATTTATAAGTAATTAGTCGTTTCTCCTTGTTTATTGTCTGTTATGAGGCCGCAGTAGAACGTTTAGGGATTCTTTTTACAGCACCTTTTAATCAAATCAGTTATTTCAACCAGCACATTATTTTGTTTTTATTCACTATAAGAAGCTATTTTGTAAATAAAAAAAAATTCAGCGCACTGTGAAAATGTACTTATGCACCCTTTTTTTATATATATTTCTACTGAAAAATGAAAACCCAAGACGTGTAGAGGTATAGTAGTATTAATACTGTTAATAAAATAGTCACTGTAATAAAATCCGAAAGAAATACTCTTTATTTTTCCATTCCTACGCGAATTTAATAAGAAAATATAATGTATCTGTCTTATAATTGTAATAGTGTTGTCTTCCATTATGTCGCTTATGCATATATGGTGTATTTTTGGTTTATTTTTCTTGGCAGTGTGTGTCTGGGGGCAAGCATGCCTGATAACCAGCGTTTCTAAACTATAAATGTTTCCGTAATGTTAAACAGTGGTTTTGCAGTGAGGCTAGGGGCCAGGGGGAGGAAGAGCAGGGTGATACAAGCACAGCGCTGCAGCCCTCGCCGGGAAATGGAGGCCGGCGTCCGGCCCCCGGGACGGAGGCACGCTGCCCAGCCTGCCGATGCCTCTACGGGGAGGTGGCGGGGGGGCTGCGTGGCGATGACAGCACGGGGAAGGCCCGAAACCTTGACCTTGAGGGGAAAAAAGCCGATTTGTGACCTTGACTTTTGACAGCTCCCGGCGCCGGCGGCATCCGCGGGCCGACAGCGCCACCTCGTGGGCGGCGCCGCGCCTGCACCCGGCCGCGCCCGCGCAGCATTGTCGCCGCGGGCGGGTGGGCGAGCGAGCGAGCGCTCCGCCGGGCACCGCCGTGTGTGTGCCGGGCGTGCAGAGAGGGGCGAACGGCGCCGGAACCTGCGAGGCGGAGCGCGGAGCAGGTTATGCTTCCCGCGCTCCCCTCTCTCTCTCTCTGGCAGTGGCGAGTCTGAACTGCGAGTGAAACTCAGTGCTAAGCCGGTGCCCGGCCGGGGGGTGCCGGTGCGGTGCAAGGAGCCGCAGGCCGGCCCGTGGCGGGTGATTTTGGTCGCGCACAAAGAGAAGTTTGCTTTCGCCGCCTATCTCCTGTGGTGGTCTGTAGCTCTAATTAGAGCTATTGGGGAACCTTTACGGTACATTTAGAGGGTATCATATACCGCGCTAGCTGTGTGCTTCTAGCCTTACATTTCTGAAATTCAAAAGGACCCACCTCTGCAGGGATCAGCGCAAAGCGATTTCCGACCCTCAGATCTGACTGTAACGCATTCGTGCAATAACTCTCATGAAAACTACCTGCAGGAGCAGGATTTGTTTTCCAGGAGGCTTTCGTGTCGGGGCCTTTACCCTCCGTTCGGGATTTTAGCCTTTCCCCTGTGTGCAGCCGCACAGGGCTGCGAACTGCTGTGTTTCCTCGGGCCGCGAAGCGCTGTGGTTTCTCAGGCCGCGGGAAATCCGCAGCCGCGGACCGTGGGAATTTCGGCTGCATCCCTTCAGAGGTCGGTCAGGGACTTTCGGAGCGAGATCTCTTCCATCCCGCTGCGAAAATAGCCGAGGTGTGTTACATTAGTGGCAGGCGGTTTTCAGGCCATGCAGTTTGATTGTTCTTTGGGGTGACAAGGTGTCAGCCCTCTGTGACAAGCACCGGCCTTTCAGCGGCCCGCGACGCCGTGGGAGGGACCGCGGGTAAAGATCCGTGGGCGCAACACCAGCCGAAGGAGCAATAGCTAACTCGTCCCTGGCGGCCGGGCCTTGGGCTGCCCACGGGCGAAGGGAGCTGGGTGAGACCCCTGTCGCCACTGATGAGCCAGTAGTCTCCGCGACCTCCGCAGTAGCTCTGTGGCCTAGGATTTTCAGCAGACCTGGAGCAGGCAGAAAACTCCCGCACTGGAGTTACTGGGGCCGCGAGCAGCCGCTTCTCCCAGTTGTACCCTGCCCGGAGGTCTGGGGCTGTGGGACCTGTCTCCCACTGGCCATACCTGATGCCCGCGGGCAGTCTGCTTCGGCTGCTGGCGCGGGACAGCTGCCTGTCCGCCGCCTCATTGCGATGCTTTCTCCTGAAGGAGCGAAATTGCCTGATGAAAGCCTCTAGTGAATTACACTTGTTCTTGCTCCGAGTGAATAATTTTGTTTATTCCGTTGTATTTAGCAACCTGTATAGTTGTTGCATGAGACCCTGCAAATTACATGTACTGCAGGTCGGAGTTAGGGGTGATACGTAGGATTCAGTCCTCCGTATCTTAGGCTCGATCTTCTATTCTTAGCCTCGATCTTCTATTTTCATAGTAGAAGAGCCTCAGAGCGATATAATTCAGGGACGCCTTGAAAGAAACCCATAGTGAGAATATGGTTGACATTAGTATAATTGCAGCTGTTTGTGTTTTTTTTTGGGGGGGGTTGGTTGATTTTTTCTTTTTTTCTTTTTTTTCTTTTTTTTTATTGTGTGTAAGGTAATTTTTAATCGGAGCTAGCATCTGAAGATTATGTTTTCAAACCGAATTACCTACCGTTCAAATCTGCTAAGCATTTCAAGACGGACCGTGGATTAGCGAAAATAAATTCCCACTACTGTTCAAATAGCTCAGCAGCATATATATTTCACAGGGTAAAAAGGGGAGCGTTTGACTCGCGATCGCTGGCAGGAGTAAGGTAACATTTTGGATCTGACCCCTGCTACCATATAAGTCAGCGTCGAGGCTCCGAGGCTCTCGCAGGAGGAGCAGGTCGTGTTTCCCGTCCCTGCAGCGGAGAGACACGGTCGGGGGAGCAGGATCAGGCCCACGGCGAACCGGCGGGGAAGCCCCCTCTCCCTCCGGTGTGTCCCCCCAGATGCCCGGGCGTGCGGTGGCCGTGGCGGCGGCTTCGCGCCCAGTCCCGCGAGGACGGCCTCTCCTCTCGGAACGGCTGTCTCCTCGGGCCTGTCTTCAGGCGCGTATCGGGAAACATCCCACGGTGCGAGTGGCTTGATCAGGTGAGTTAAGGCCGGTAACTCCATGCCTTGCTCTCTGGGGCACCGTGAAGAGGGGACTGAGGGAAGCGATGGTACCCGGCGGAACCCCCGCGGCCGTGGGGCGATTCAGGGCACCGAGACGGGCGTGTCTGCGGTTTTCCGAGTGGTGAAAGATTCCCTATCTGCTGGTCTTGCGTGGACTCCCACCCTCCCTTCGGTCGTCCCGCGTGTCTGCCTATCCACAGCTGCATCCACGCAGTCCTCCACCCCTCCATCCCTTCGCCGGGTAGATGTGGCCTCGGAGCGTGGGGGAGAGCGGGTATGTAGGTGTGTGTGTTCGTGTTATTTATTGCCTTCATTTACCGTCCAAAAGCTGTTGGCACATACATTTTCAAGTACAAATTGCCGTTGTATTACATATTCCCCTCTTACCAATCTGCCGACAGCGTCCTAAAATACATCCCTAATATGTTTTACAAGTGAATATATCACCTACGAAAATAATTAGGCAACGTGATACATTAATGCACGACGTCCATCCCTGCACGCGATTAAGAGAGAATTATTATTTATATTCCCCATGTTATGGAGAGTGTTTTAAAATGGGAGGGGGGGACACGATTTACTGTGCCTGGCTTACTGTGTAGAGTGCATGTGCAAAGAGTTTTATTTGCAAACGTTAAAAAAATGTGCTGAAAGAAGAATTTGAAAGGAAAACAAACAGAAAATTAAAAACCAAAACGTATGTAAACAAAGTAGGGTCTTTATTTTCTCATCTTCCCTTGAAATAAAAATGTTAGGTATAAGATTTTAGCACATGTGGAGAGAGAGGCAAGGGACAGAGGAAGCAAATTAATACTGCATATTTCGTGTATTAATTGGAGCATTATTATCAGAGCAGCATATCTTGAGTAGTGTTAACGCACAATATACTTAAAGACAAAAAACCCCCCTCAGTTTCACTCCAACCTTCACTTAAACTAGTTCACTTTCAGTCTTGGATTCAGAAACGTATACTTTAATTCCCAGTATCT